AACTTATCATATAAATTTATTTATAGAGTGTCCTTCTTTCCTCCTACTCTATCAAGACATTTGCAGAAGGTTGTCGCTCGTCTTGTTCAGGAGTCCTGAAATAATTTGCAGGGCCTTTGAAACATCATCGTGTTGCATAGTTGTGATCAACGTGCTGCTGTTGCGTGAACAKATCATATTTTAATGTGAATGTCAGGTTAGCCGAGACATTCAGGGTTTTCTTTTACTTTAGGTGCTATACACTGGTTTGTATTTTCACTTGAGCACTGCAGTCAAAAAATCCTGCATATAGTAACTTAAAATTTTCTGTTTTACATGCAAGGCATTGCCTAGAAAATTAATGTGTAATATGAGAGGATTAGTAAGATGCATACACTTTCCAAACATCTCTTAAAAATAGCTTTCACTGTCAGTGTAGCATCTTAATTCTGAATAATCTCACAGTCCTTCTGCAAATCTGTGCATATAGTAACAGAGAAACCACCTACTTCATCCTCTTGAACTGCACAATATGGATCTGGGCATGAAAAAAGCTGGGTTTTGGAGTAGGGTTCTGCTTTGGCAGAGATGTCTCTGGGACTTGTGAGAGCATTAACGCTTGCATTAAATATTAAAGTCAGCTTTCACAATCCTTGCCTATCTTTTCAAAAATGCTCTGAGATCCTCAGTCTGGAATTTGCTCTGTGGTGCAAAGCGTCGGTGCAGATCTCTGGAATCCTCTGCCAAGGGGTGGACATTGTGGAAGGGGAGCCAAGGCGAGTGTTCCCTGTACTGGGGGACGCTCTGTGCCCGGACTTTGGCCCCGGGCTGAGCAGTGGTGCCCTGGGATGATCACAGAACCACAGGATATCCACCAAGACCATTGAGTGGATATTCATATCACAACTCTTGAGTGTATGATCCATACAGGGATCAACCTCACACCCTTGGCGCTGATGCCCGGGAATGGATGGGAGCCCTGGCAGGGATAAGGAAAGGATGAGGCTGGGTATAGATATCAAAATGGATGCCAAAAGCTGGACCGGGCTCTGCACCGTGGTGCCAACCACCAGGACATGATGGCCGGGAAGTTCCATGGGGAAGGACTTGCGCAAGGATCCAGCACTGGAACAGATTACCCATAGAGCTTGTGGAACCCCCTCMCGGGGATATTCCAGACGTAATCCCRTGCCATGTGCTCTGGGCTGACCCTTCCTCAGCAGAGTGCTGTGCCCAGCTGCCCCACTGCGTTCCTGACCCCCTGACCCATCCCTCCATGCCGGGAGCCGCGGGCCGGGGCGGGGGCGGGACTCGAACCCGCGGCCCCGCCGCCGCTCCGCTGCCCGGCGCAGCCGCTAGATGGCGCCGCCCCAACGAGCAAAGCGGGCGCTCCGCAGCGCCCAGGACGCCCCTGGCGGCCGCGCGCGGCGCCGCACCCGCCTTCCCCCAGCGGTGCCGGCGGCCATGGCGGTGCGCGCCCACGTGACGGCGCGGCGGCCAATGGGAGCGCGGCAGGGGGGCCCCGACCGCCGTCCCTGTGGCCGCCATTAAAGAAAAAGGGTCTCGGAATTACCCGGGAGCCGGATCCGCTCCCGCTCCGGCCATGGGAGACCCGCGCTGAGGCTCCCGCCGCCACAGGATGCCGCGGCCGGGCAGCCGCCGACAGAGGCACCGCTGAGGGGAGGCGACGCGCCGGCGGGGGCTTCGCGGCACCGACTCCGCCAGCGGCAGCAGCGGCGGCGGCCGCCGCGTCCCTGTGTGTCGGCGGCGCCGGGAATTGCGGGGCTCCGACCCCTTCGGGCTGAGCAGAGCCCGGGGCTCGGCCGCCGCCTCCCCGCCCTGCCCAGGAGCCTCGGGGAGGGGGCCCCTCCGCCCACCGCCCCCGCGGGGACCCGCACCTGAAGAGAGCGAGCGGTCTCGGGGCTCCCCCGCCCCCCCCAGGACAGACCGCTCCGGCCGAAGACGATCGTTTTTTATATTTCCCCCCCCGCCTCCTTTTTTT